CTGTTGTATGAATATACCACCCATTCATTCACTAGTGCATTCCAGGATATCTGGGTTGTTTGCTAGGTTCCTTTCATCTGTTGGATTACTAGGTTTCATGTTAGGTGTCTTTTTTTTGTTTGTTTTTTAGCCATTCTAATAGGTATATAGTAACATTTCCTTGTGATTTTAATCTGCATTTACCTAATTGCAAATTATGTAAAGCATTTTTTCATGTATTTATTTGCCATCTGTATAAAATCTTTGGTGAAATGTCTGTTCATGTCTTTTCCACACTTCTAAACAGGTTGTTTTCTTATTCAGTTTTGAGAGATTTTTAATTTATTGTTCATAAGTAGTTGGTCAGATATATGAATTGGAAAGATTTTCTCCATTTGTGGCTTAGCCTTTCATTTTCTTAACAGTGTCTTTGAAAAGCACAAACTTTCAATTTTGTTGAAATTCAGTTTATCACTGTTTTCTTTAATGATTCATGTCTTTTTGGGTCTTATTTAGGAAAACTTTGACTAACCCAGGGTCACAAAATTTTCTCTTGTTTTCTTATAAAAGTTATGTTGTTTTGTTTATTATATGTAGGTCTCTGATCTTTTATCAGGTAATTTTTATATATGTTGCAAAATAAGGGTCACAGTTAATTTGTTTCCACATGGATATCTAGTTTTGTTCCAGCATGGCTTATTGAAAAAACTTAACTCCTACACTGAATTACTTGGGCACTTTGGTCAAAAATCAGTCATATATATAAGGGGTTATTTTTAAAGACATTATTGTATTCCAGTGACCTGTGTGAATATTTATATCCAAATACCATATTGTTATTCCTTACTGCTATTTTTAATTGAGATATAACTGACATATAATGAATTAGTTTCAGGTGCACAACATAATGATTTGATATTTGTATATATTGCAAAATGATCACAAAATGATCACAATAAGTCTAGCTAACATCTATCACCATACATAGGTTAAAAAAAATCACACTATCTTGATTAATGTAGCTTCGTAACAAGTCTTAAAAGCAGGTAGTGCAAGTGTTTCAAATTAATTTTTCTTCAAAACAATTTTGGCTATTATAGGTGATTTGTTTTTCTATATAAATTTATCTCATTACAGGGAATAATTTTTTTTTGAGCCTGATATGGGGCTTGAACACATGAACCTGAGATTAAGACTTCAGCTGAGATCAAGAGTCAGACTCAACCAACTAAGCCACCCAAGCACCCCTTTCTCTTCTCTTTATTGTAACTATATGACATGATAGATGTTATTATTATATAATCATTTTACAATATATATTCAACAATCATGCTATACACCTTAAATTTATACAGTGATGTATGTCCATTTTTTCTCAATAAAACTGGGAGGAAAATCAGCTTGCTTAAGTTCTACCAAAAAACAAACAAGCAAAAAAACACTGCCAACATTTTGATTAGGATAGAATTAAATTTGTGGATTTAATTTTGGGAAAATTTGTAGGCTTTCAGCTCTGTGAACAAGTACCTATCTCTCTATGTTTCTATAATTTCTTCTAGCATTGTTGCTAGTTATCATGGTATAAATCTTGACCTTATTTTTAAAAATTGATTTCTAGGTGGTTTTTTTTGTTTGTTTTTTGTGATTTTTATTTTGGTTTTGGTTTTGGTTTTTGTTTTGTTGTTGTTGCTACTGTAAAGAGTATTTTTATTTTAATTTCCTATAGTTTGTTGCTATGATAAATAAATAATTGATAAACACAAGGTAAATATAATTGATTTTTGTGTATTGATGTTGAATCCTGACATATTACTGAATTTAATAATTGGTTATAGTATTTTTGTAGATTCTTTAGGATTTTATACACATATAATCATATATCATTTCTGAACAAAGACAGTTTATTCATTTTATTTATTTTTCAATTTTTTTTTTACAAATAGTTTATACACAATGCTACACTAGTTTTTATTTCCTTATATCCAATCTATATGCCTTCTCTTTCTTTTTCTTGTCTTATTGCACTGGTGAAATAGTAAAAGTAGACATCTGTACTTGATCTTAGGGGCAAGCATTCAGTATTTTACCATTAAGAATGATATTAGCTTTATTTTATTTCATGGTTGACCTCTATCATATTGGAGGCTTCTCTTTCTAATCTTAGTGTATTGGTGGCTTTTTATCATATATGTGTTTTTTTAAATGTTTATATATCTACAAAAATGATCATATGATTTTTCATTTTGATATGTTAATGTAGCTTTAATATACTGTTTTGCTTTTTTTTAAAAATTAGGTTGTTCTGAAAAGGTGAAAGGCAAACAAATACTGCATAATGAGAATAGGCTTTAGAGAACTCAGTGACTCCATCAAGTGTAATAACATTTGCATTACAGGGATCCCAGAAGAAGAGGGTTTGGGGCAGAAAATATATTT